TTATTTCAGGACACTTTTCAAATAGAGCAGGTCTAGACCGAACTCCTTATAACATTATTAACAGAGACCCACAGTACCACCATGAGCAAGACCTTGGCGACGGCGGCAAGGTGGGTGGCGTTGAATGCTGTATCGTACATACAAACTTTGCTACATTTTCTTTCTTTAGATGCGGGTTTCAGGCACCACAGAGGAGTCATGGCTTGAAAAGCTCCAGTGCAGACATAGAGAGTCTGACAGCAGCTGCTCATGGCTGGTTAGCTCTGTTAGCTCTGTTAGCTTTGACTACCAGCAGCTGTAATCCTGCTACTCTAAGCGGTCACACTCCAGGCCATGCCCCTTATAATGGTTCTCCCTTCTGCTCTCTGCGAGCACAATTTGGAGGGTTTGGTTACACTTCACGGAAGCAACTTTGTGACTGAAAGGTTGAACTGTCAGGAACAATTCAAGCAGAGACAGTTGGGCAGCGACGGGGACTGCAGTGCAGAGAGGAACAGAACTACAAATTCAGAAGAAAATCACAGAAATGGATAAAAATAAGTTGATTGTGAGAGACAGACGTTATGATTTGTTTTCTGTTGATGTTTCAGATCCACTGTCGGCTGCTGGGAAGCTAAATGAGACAGATTTGTCCTTTCAGCCTCACAGCTTCACCTTCACGGCTCAACAGACATCCCTCCTCTTCCTCAGCGGGAAACATTCACATTCATGACGCACGTCAGAGCAGGGCTGTCACCTCCCCACCTAACCCTGACACACACACACTCAAAGCAAAGTAAAGCTAAGCTGAGGTAACAGCTCTGACCTTCAAAATAAATTCCATTTTAATGGAATTTCTCTTGTTCAGACTCCCACAGGGGTGTGTGTGTGTGTGTGTGTGTGTGAGACAGAGACCGCAGTATACTGCAATTAAACTCCATCTTAAAATAAGTAAATGGGAACATTAACATCCAATCAGCTGTCAAAGTGAAGCTCCTTCAGAGCTCGTTAAGGACCTGCTGCTCCTTAAAGCTGACTCAGCAGAATGTGGGAACCATATTGCAGACAGTGTAGCAATGAAGGATGTCACGCAAACCGACACTTCGGTACCCAGTTGATAGGAAAACTCATTTCTGATATTATTTTCATAAGAAATAACATGCTAAACATTCATGCATGCCCATTTTATGCAAACGTATTAATAATAGTAATCCGCACAAAATATGTAAATACGACAGTTCATTCAGGTGACTCAGGTAAAGGCTGCACTGAAGTAAACACTGCAGGACTGCAGCCAACTTTGTTTATTAGTTATTTAGTATAATATACTTTATATATAAAATAGGCTATATTAAACGTAAAACACCCCCTCAATGTACACTTCTATAAAACCAACGTCTCTACAGACTGTGACCTGCTACTCTGACACTAGAGAATTAGCCTCTCTGAGCTGCTAGCTAACGTTATAACAAAAGTAGGACACAGAAACTTTTACAAAAGGCCATGAATGTGCTTCTAGTGACTCTGTATCATACTCAATACTTAATGGGGCAAAACACTTTTTTATTGTGGTATCGAGAGTCATGGAATTTCACTGGTAACGGTATCGCGGTATGGACAACTAAATTTCAGGTTTTGTGACAGCCCTAGTAGCAACAGGAGGTGGAAGAAGAGGAATGACTGACCCATCGTGGCATGTGTCCTCCGTCGGGGTCGTGGTGATGATACTGCAGAACCAGAACTGTAGCGATGACCGACAGACCCACGATCACCATGGTGGTTGCAAAGTACTGAGCTGAAACACAAGGTGTTATTGTTATTATTATATCATTACACACCTTCCCATCATCAAGTATATCTCGCACCACAGATGTCACATGACAAAAACAACATAAAAGACATAAGAGGAAGACAAGACAAGAGAGGAGAGGAGACACTGTTTAAATTTTAAGTTAACTTTGCACAGAAAAAGCTGGTAGAAAGAGAAACCAAGAAGGTACTTCTTACTTGCATACATTGAGTATATTTTAGAACTTGTTCTTTTACTGAATGTGGTTGTCTTTTCAACATAGATTAGCCTAGCATATAGCATATCTAAGTACAGAAAAGAAGGAAGTTGGCCGAAGCTTGCTAAACTTTTATTGGAGCACAGAGATTTAACGGACTTGAAGAAGAGTTTTCTGTGATTACGTTGTCAATGATTAACAAAGCAAAGATTGATTTATTACACGGTTCTTTATTACTTTAATTCCACTTTGTCCTCAAAATGACGACAGAGATAACTGAGGTGATGGAGGGATGACGGACGAGAAGTATGATAAAGTGATGAAGCTCTAAGTGAGGGTCTCACCGATGAGAGGAACAGAGTCAGATGTCGCTGGCATAATTTCAGCTACGAGCAGCATGAAGACAGTTAGAGAGAGCAACACTGTGATACCTGCAGAGAGGGAAAGGGATTGTTTATAATTAAAACAGGAAGAGAGTGGTTTGCTTCCTTGTGTTCAGGTGTTTCGTGTAAAAACAGTCAGCTAGGGCGGGACTTGTTACACACATTGCTATGCAGCTAGTGCTATGAGCTAGCATCAGCATTTACCTTTCAGTGAACACAGCCAGACCCAGGGCCGAACACAATCTCCAAGACAGATCTGCCAGTCTGACAGGGAATCCAGTACAGAGGTGATTTTCTTGTCGGGTTTGGCTCGTGCCATCCCGGGGCTGAGTCAGTTAGTTTAGCTGCACGGCTGACCGAGCTAACGGCAGTTAGTTATCAATCTGTCCATCAGGAAACTCTGTAAATGACCTAAGTACTTTAACGTTCTCCCTGTCAGTCTCGGAGGCTGTGTTCGATCCCGGTCCGACTTCTAAGCCTGGTTCTGTCGCCCGCTAACGGCAGATACAGTTTAAGCAGCAATTATTAGCAGTTGCTAAACGCTAGCAAGTAGTTACAGCTAATCTGCACGTACAATAAATGTGTAAACACACTTATTTGGACTTCACGGAGACTTTAAAGATTGAAGTTGAAAAGATTGATTGTTAGGTGATGGATGTCATAATATTATTGCTTCCAACTGAGCAAAAAAATTGATTTTTTGCTTTTTTTTGGGGGGGGGGGGGGCATAAATTCTTAAATTGTGTATTCGCAGCTACTTACACTGCATTGAGAATGTAATACCGATAGAGCGCCAGTCAGCATCAATCAAGCTTCACACACACAGAGTCCTCACCCAGGGAGATCTTCTCTCCGGAGTCGGCAGGCAGCAGAAAGACGAGGAGAGCGAGGGTGGAGATGAGGACGCAGGGAATGAGGAGATTGAGTCCATAGTAGAGCGTCCTCCTCCTCATCACTACAGTGAAGGTGACATCGGGGTACGGTTCCTTACAGCAGTCATAGAAGCGCTCGTTCCTCCGTCCAGGAACCTCTGCAGACAAAACAACAACTGTGGCTGACTTCCAGAGTCACAGGTAAACCTCTGACACACAGAGGTTGAGTGGAGCGAATGAAACTGCTGCTTTTATCATCTACATCTGTGAATTAAGGATTTATTTCCACCAAACCAGAGTTGGTGACTGTTGGAAAGACTATCAGAGACGGTTTTATTTTGTTTCGAATTGTGTTTTACACATGATCTGTTTAGAAATTGCAGGTTTTGACAATGTGTTTCGGTCTGAGATGCCGGTGGTCTAATGTGACACCTAGTGGCAAGTAACTTTGCATATATAACCTTTACGACATAACGTCATAACTATGGTGTTGTTGCCACCTTGACAAATAATACCTGCTCTGTTTTACAAGCAATTCTCTTAAATAATTTAATCTTGTTATTACTACGTACCATATTATTCCCATTTTACAAGAAACGCTATGCCAGCATATTTTGTCAGATCACAAAACTATCTTGTTAGTTCCCAAAATCTGCTTTTTCAAACAAGAAACCTTTCTCGTTATAATAACTTTCATAAAACAAGAAAAGATCCCAATCACATTAATCAATCACATTTGCTTCTTATTTTGCTGTTTTCTCTGTGGTCTGTAGAATAAAATGACAGAAAGAGCAGTATAGTAGCCAATCTGGTGGATTGATATTGTACCAGAAGATCAAAGACATATTTTAAACTATGCAGTGATTCATAAACCAGTAGCAATGTTTTTAAAATAAATTCTGGAACAGATTAGAAGCAGTGCAGAGATCAGAGGACTTGACTGATGTTCGGCTTTCTTAAACTTTAATGAGACTTTAGCTGCAGCTGTTTGAGAGTTGGAGAAGTTAAAGAAGGAAAACCTACAGGGGAAAAGGGCTCTTTCTGCTATTTAAGTCCTATTAAAGGTGAATTAAGCCTCTGTGAGACAAGGTTTAATAAAAAAGTCAGAAAACTGACACTTGTTTGTAGAAGACCGATGATAAGTAACATTAAAAGATTTCTTGCTCTAGTCGCACGAGCTGCTCGACCTGCAGGAACGAGGCCATTTCATCTCAAATGGCTCAGAAACGTAATTTAATCCTCCACAGGAGAGGTATTTAAACATTTCACAGGAAGTCAAATCCTCCCCGTTGCTGCTGCGAGGAGGCGTGAAGCCACCCGCTGAGGACGACTCACTGTAATGAGGCCTGCTCAGGTTTTATTACTGGAATAATAATCTGTTGCTATAATGTGTGTGCCAGAGATTAATTAAACATCCAAAATGATTCAAATGAGCAAAGAAAAGTGACAGAATAACTATAATTCTCTATAATCACTATACTCACCTCTCTATTAGGGCTTTTCTATTGGCCAAGTCAAACCATGCTGTACTGGTTTTCCATTATCAGTTTAAAGTTTGTTGCGCTGAACGGATCACAAGATGGACCATTAGCCCTTTTCCGTACACGTGCTGGTTTGAGTTGGCCCAGTTAGGCAGCAATTTGCATCTCCATTACAGCTAGGCCACCAGCCGCAGCGATGGTTAAGAGAGAGCTCAGATTCAATCAATAAGCAGTGAATCAAATAAATAAAACATTATTTTCAGATTTTTAGAAAATCAGTTACGTTCTAAAGCACAAATAAACACAAGACCCTTTCCTTCCTGCAGGATGTAGAGTTGTTACAAAGCCACTTAGGAAGCTCCGCTAATTCAGTGATATATGCATTTCATCTTCTGTAAATTCTTCACAGTAAAAGTCCCAGGTTATATATAAGCTTATATTATGAAGCTGCAAACTCAGCAGTTCATCAGCGGTAACTTAAAACGACTCCTATACAGCTGAAAGCGAACAGGAAACAGTAGGGCTTCAACTCGACATATAAAAGATGGATGTCTCTGCTTCCTCCCATTGTACAAAAATAAAGCCAAAATATCCCGGATACGACTGCTGCCATCTTTCGAATTCGGAATAGATTCTGTGCAGTCATGATCGGGGTATTGAGGTCTCAGGGCTCAGCTGTCACTCATGATGGTAAAACCCCCTTTTTATATCTTCAGATCACCAATTAAAACCAAACAAACTAACATCAGCGTGATAAGAACAACCTAAAACATGGAGGCAGTGGGCTTTATGAGCTATACTGCAGTCAGCCACCAGGGGGGAAATAAAAGACCCACAAACTGACCTGAACATGGCGACCCAATGTACAGTGTCAGCGACTGCCGGTCTTCAGTGTGTTTCTCCTTAACTTCCACTTCTGGTAATTTTACTGATGAACTGGTGGTAAAAACTCCCTGCTTCTATTTTATCTGCCTGCATAAGAGTGCAGAATGCCTGGCTGCCTTTCATTTGCCCGTACGTCGCTGCATTGCTCACTAGATTGGTTTTAATCTCTGCTATAGGTGCTGGAGAGGAGGGGGTAGACGGGTAAATGGGAAACATGCTGCTGAGATTTTCAATTGAACGGCCCATTGGCTGAACAGTGTCTCCGGAGGAGGCTCGCTTTCATTCTCCGCTATCTTCTCCTTCCATTTCATACTCTCTTTCATCAGCCGGTAAAAACAGAAGAGCTCCAGCTCCCCTGAGACCGAGGACGATGCTGCACTCATCATTAGTCTCCAACAGCAGCTCTGGCTCCGTCCTCTGCTGGACCTCTGATCTGCAGAGGCTTTTTAATCTGTGCTCTGTTGTGCTGAACTATGTGTTGATTCACATCCTCAAACATCAATTATGTGCTGCAGATAAGTTGTTAAAGGTCCAGTGTGTAACAGGATCTATTGTCAGAAATGGATTATAATATTCATAGGCAAGTTTTCGCTTGTGTATAATCACCTGAAAATATGAATCGTGCTTTTGTTGCCTTAGAACAGGAGTCTCAAACCCAAATAGTCTTGGGGCCACTGCGGGTATTCACTTTAATGTTCACATACAACAAGAAAGCGCAATATTCTGAAAATAAGCTCTGCCTCCTAAAATACGACTTTATCGTTAGTCGCTGTGAAGAGTCTCAGTCGACCCACATTTCATTAGCCGCAGAAAAAAAAAACACGTCAAACTCACCATCACCATGACCAAAGTATCAGAGGTTTGTTGCAACACGGACCTTTTCTCTTGTAACACAGAAAGTCTCTTACCCATGGTTAGCATTTCTGCTTATGCTAACCGTACTAGCTGCTATTAGCTAGTTAGCGGCCCTATTAGCTGTCTGTACCCAGACTGGGAGCTGGAAGACCCGGCGGGTTCAGGCAGCGACAGGAGAGGAAACGGAGGAAGAGGAGCCAGTTTGTAGCCAGTTAATTAGTCAGTAACTGTGATGTTACATTCAAAATCATTACCGCTGTTTCTGGTAGCATTTAAACGCTGTTTGTCATATATGTTATACATATTTAAATAAATGTGAGACGACTATTGTCTTTATTTAACGACTACAAGTTGAATAGGAAAATCCGTATTCGAGGACAGCCCCACTAAAAATATTTCTATTAATAACATCATTCCTAACAAAAAAAAGCAAACAGCTATAAATTTTTCATGTTTGCTTATGAAGCCCTGAAACCTGATCTGTTCTTATCAACCCTTTGCACACATTTGTGGGCACCTTTGATCTTATATATGTTTTAAATTATTTGTTTTTTTAATTTTAAAATGTTATCAGACATTCTGGAAATAATTTCTATTGTCCTGGAAAATTTTACCCCTGAACACAAAATGTGCGAGTTAACGCAGAGTTTCCGATAAACGCTGACCATGTCACGAACATGAGACACTTAATCATGAACTTGCATTCTTAAAAAAGAAACCGACAAATTCTGTGACCGTTTGGGAGTAAATGCTGTCCTGTATTGGCGATGAAACCTCCTGGAAAATGAGAGAGTGGGAACCCTGGTGACCAACCGTTCCCTCATCCAGTCTCCTTTAGCGTTCTGCCTTTGGTTTTCCTCACTGAAAATCATCAACGTTACTACAGCAAGTTGTTCCGCTACGTCTGCTTCCCCATGAGAGCCCGTGGTCATTCTCTAGTGTGTGACGCAACATTAATTTCCAATCTTGCAGAAAAAAATCTTATGTTTTTTTGCTTGATGCAACCAAATTTCAACATCAGTTAGGATTTAAAAAACTGCTGCAGTCTGAGCCTTGAAGCCTAAATATGAGACTTAATAAACAGGGTTCCCACTCTTTCTAAGAAATCATCTTCCAGGATGTTTTCCAGTAGATTTTCCTGACGATACAGGACACTTCTTACTCACAAACTAAAGTAAGTCCGTTCTGCTGTGACCAGCTGAGTGAGTGCAGTTCTGTTTTACCAACAGTCAAGCTTAATTACACACCCAGGTTTACGTAGGTGATCTGAGTGTAAAATACAATTAAAATTTTCCAGGACAACTTAGATCATTTTAATAAATCTCCAGGTGTTTCCATGGCTGACAAACCAGCGCTGCAATCAATGGACAAAAATACGGTAATATCCAAGGTGGTGATACGCTTGGATATGGTCTGTATTTAGAAGTTTACAGACATGGATCTTTCTATGATTTAATATGATATAACATATATATATACGTAAACTTGGATTGAAACTTCGGATATAGTCTCTAAATTTTCAGGTTTTCCAGGAAGCCTGTTAAACTTTTTGTAGTGTCTGAGTTGTTGTTAGATGCCTCATCTACCTGACCTCCACACTTACTTACTGTTGTTGCTGTGCACCTGTCTGTCTGTCTGTCTGTCTGTCTCTGTCTCTCTCTCTCTCTCTCATTATGACATTATTCTGATTTTAATTCAGATTAATGACATAAGATACAACGACCTGTAATTCCTGTGAGAACTTGATAAATGTGCAGCAGACGTGTGCGTGATCAGACAGCGTTATGACTTTGTTCAAACATTAAACTGAGTGTCGGCTCTTCAGGAGGCCACAGGTCTCTGCCTCGCAGCGTTGCACGATCAAATCAGAGCGCTAAAAAGAGATCGGAGCTGATATAAATGTCATTCATTGGTCATGCTTTGTTGAGTCATCTGGCATTTGTGAGCGGCCGATAGTACAAACACGGCCTGCCGGCGACGGCGGCGGCTCCCATCAGCCTTCGGGTTCACTGAGCCGCTCGGCTGGCAACAGGAGGGTTTAATTACGAGCAGATTAATGCTGGATAGGAGCGCTGATATGAAACCCTCCTCAGCAGACAGACGGAGGGGCTGCCTCTGAGCTGTGTCTGAGTGTTGGGCTCTAACATTTACATAACGTCGCTGTCGGGGAGAAAACGCCTAAAATGTTCAGGAACTAATTAAAACAACTCGTTTGTTTTGCCGTTAACCGGCTGCACGCTCAGTCGGGGATCTCACCGTGAAATGAGCTCGCCAAAGTTTGTTCCCTCGTTTCCCCTCTCAGGTTTTCTTAAAGTTTCTCCCTGATCACTGAAACAGTCTGAATAAGTCCTGTGTTATATTTTTATATAATATTATATTAATATTTGTATTACTGATAGCATTTTAGCAAAAGATGTACGTTTATTGCCAAAAGTATGTGGACACGATACCATAAAGGTGGGCTTGGCTATTCTGGAGAAAGAGTCCATCGACTAATATATATTACATTATATTATATATTAATGTACACTTTGTTTGTTTCCCATTTACTATATTAACAACCTGGGAATGAGACCTTTAACATACTTAATGTACGGTCTGTTTTTCCTGGTTTGGTCCAGTCACACAGTTAAAGGAAATTGTAACCCTCCAGTGTCCAGTGATATTTTAGATATTTAGTGTTATGATATTTAACATCGATATAGTGTGATATTTGTGTTTGTCCCTTTTCTGTTTCCCCACGTTCACGTACAGATCCATAAAAAATGGTTTTCCCAGTTTAAGAACTTGACTGTTCTGCCTGACCTCAACCCCACCCAACATGAGCTAACCCTGAGTGGAGGTTTGTATAACAGCAGATTAATGCAGATCACATGTTTAACTCTCACATATGGCTGGAATGTCAATCTGTCCACATACTTTTAGCCATGTAGTGTACTGTAGGTGTTTAATATACACAAAGTTAATTCAGGGATTTTAATAACCGAGGACTTAATGTCCAAGTATGAAAAGTCCTTCAGCCTCATGTTTACTTGTGCTCTTACCCACGAGGTCCCATTCTCCGTTGGCGATGTATCCGGTGATGTCGGCCTCGATCATCTGCAGGTCCAGAGACCAGCCGCCGTACGTCCACGAGCCGAACTTCAGGTCGCAGCGCTGCACATCGAACGGAAACCAGCGAACGTCGATGTAACAGGTGCTCTTAAATATTCCTATAAAAGAAAAATAGAAAACAAGCTGTGAGGAGGAGATAAAGGAATACAAAGTAAACTACCGTTGGAGGGGGAATGAACAAAAACATGGTCAGTAACCTCAGAATGAGATGCAAAAGAAATGAAAATTGTATTTGTGTGTCCGCAGGAGATCAATATCAAATCAAAGCAAAAACTAATACCTGGGAGGAATTCATGAAGAAGATAAAACCCCAACAGTGGAAAGAAAATAAATTACAGACAAACAAAATGATTTGATCAACAGAAACCAGTAAAATAAGACGGAGGACAAGCACAGATTTTAGATAGCAAGGGATGAACTCGGTTTTATATTTATTTCTTTGTTTCACAAGTAAACAAGAAACCATGTCTGGTCTCCCTCGGGATTCTGCTCAGGACAAACTGTTTGAGGTTTCCATTAACTTTGTGTGGATCTGCTGGGAAAACCAATCTGATCTCAAACCAGCCAGCACCTGCTGCCTCCAGAAAAAAAAAAAGATGAAAGTTTAATAATCCCTGAGGAGAAATCAGGAACGTCAGTAACAGGATACGGCAAAGGAAAAAATAAAATATGAAGAATAAAGCTACCTGAGGTTACAGTGTGAACACAAGGCGGATAAACTGAGGAGGATGAGGATGATACAGTTTTATTAGAAGCAATAAGTGAAGATTTAGAAATGTACACAATGTATTCTGGCTGTGATACATACAAATATAACAAAAGTGTGTAAATAAAGAGAGGAGTCGATCGTATATATGAGATTTATTAATATGGCAGAAAATAACTATTTGCTATGTAAAGNNTCCACTTTGAATGAAGTTACAATATTAACTGTTATAAAATCATCACATTTTCTTCCTCACTGCTGAAGCTTGAAGCCTGAGCTCGTCTCCGCCATCACTGTCCCTCCCAATAACACCCCCAACTCACA